AAAAAAAAAAAAAAAAAAAAAAAGAGAAAGAAAGAAAGGAAGAAAAAGGAAAACAAAATACTTCTTTGAGAACCTGTATTGCCTAATTATGCAGAAATGATTTCCATGAGATTACATTACGGGGATGAAAATCACTCACTCTCCAGGGCTGCTATATCAAACTAAATGCTGCCTCTGTGGATTGGGCTTCTGGTGACTCCCATCCTTTCTGGCCAGCGCACTCACCAACACGTGTGGGGAAGACATCCTCATCATTGATGAGGCCTTCGATCCAGTCCATGAGCAATGCCATGTATTGCGGTGCAGAGAGCTTGGCGGGCCGCCGGTACTGGTGCTCATCCTGCCAGCGATACTCGTAGCGGGGCCCGCCGGCCATGACAGGGCAGCTGGTCTCGCTGCAGCGCTCAGCCATGGTGCCGTAGATGAGATTGATGCGGTTGAAGAAGTCCACTACGTGCATTGCGATCCAGTCATCGATGTTCTCGCCAGGCGGTAGCCTCACCACACTGCGCAGGTCCAGGCCCGACTTGAGTGATGCCTGTGCCTTCTTGTACAGTTCAAAGCGCTGTGTGCCTGGCTCGAAGCGCTTCCGGGGCCGGAATGTCTTGTCCTTGGCAAACACCTGCTTCAGGCACAATGCCATGGCCAGAACTGATGCAGCTGGGTGGCCGGGGGCAGGGACCTAAGGATGCCCTGTCAGGGACAAGGGCAGGGGGAGTAGGTGGTCAGGGCCTTATCAAATGGTCTTTGAGTTCCTAATACATCGCTACTTTCTCACCTCTCAACCTTAGAGCAACCCCTGCACCTATAATCTGAATTCGAAGTCGTCCTTCCCAAGTCCAACGCGTACTCGGTTTCCAGGCGACTTTAGCTCCTCCTCCACGGGCCTCCTCGTGCCTGCTCTCGGCTTTCACCAACTCACCACTAGGGGGCTGGCCCTGGGTTCAAACAACTGCACATCAGACTAGCTGCAGATTGTTACAAAGGTGGGAGGGGCTCCTTCCGGCCCAACAGGAAACAGAGGCCTGGACCAGACGACCTCTGGAAGACCCGTAAACCAGCTGTATAGTGTGGGAGAGCCAGGCTGCATTGTGGGGAGGAGAAAGACCCCGGCTTTCAGCTTCCTCTGGGATATCCCGTAACCATCCGGTCACCGGCCATCGGGGATTCCCAGGGAGCACGAGGGACTTTTCTACCAAAAATATCCTTTCCTTTTTCTTAACGCTGAAAGAGGAAAGGGTCCTCACATGGCAGCTGGGTGGCCTCTGAGTGTGGCTGCAGGTTCTGGAGGAGGGGGAGGGTGCCAGGCCAAGAGCACGACTTCCTCTGCCAACAGCTGAGGGGCCTTCCTCCCAAGCCAACCTTATCCAAACATGAGCAAGTCACTGGCTGTCCTCTGCACCTGATACTCCAGACATTCCTACCTTGCCTGCTCCGCGCCTGACACAGGTGGGGTAGGGACTAGGAGGGCGGTCAGAGCTGTCCAGCTGAGCCTATCTATAGCTTTCTTTGCTTTGCCTCCTTCAACTGAAAGATCAGACTCAATAGATTTTGGAAGGCAGCAATCAGAGGCTCAGGCAGACACAAGAGTCCTGGGTTCTAGTACCAGCTCCACTACTGGGATGTTGGGTAACACTTGTAGCATCATGGATTTGGCCAATGAAAATCCTGGGTCACTCTGCTAGAGTCAGGTTTCTGAGGGTCTCAGGGCAGTCATTCTTCTCTCCTGTGAGTGTATAAGGTAGTAGGAAATGCAGACCCAAGTATCTGCTGAGAATGGAATATGGAGCCACAAGCTATTCCTTAACCTTGACCCAAGACTGAGTGCTGAGGCTGAGTATAAGCTAAGCACTGAGCTGGGACTTGTGCTTTGATCCTGCTGAGTCCGAGCTTTGACTCTAGCCTGACATTGAGGTTTGAATACAACCATAGACAAAGCCTGGCCTTGACTTCAGACTGACCCTGGATCACTGAGCCCAGATCTCCTTTCCTGGAAGCCACTCACATCTCTGGTAACTGTTGGGGCAGGATTGGGAAGGGAGGGTGGGACAAGTGTCAACAGAGTATAACTAAAGGCATAGCACATATGGAGGGGATGCTGTTTCTAGCAATAAATTAAATTAGTGGAGAAGATTTTGGAACAATGATCCTTCTTATTTATACCCACAACAGGCAGGCCAGGATAGGAACATTTAGGAAAAATAAGAGCTGTTCGGAAAGCAGCAACAGTCTCTCAGAAGGACTTTTTCCTCTTGAAAAAAAACCCTTAAAGATGAAGAAGGTTCTCTCTTTCATCCCCACTCCCTATTTCTTTCCAAAAAAGTGCCAGGGTGGGGTCTGAGCTTCCTGAGTGAAGAGGAGATTTCTATGTAGTTGAGACTGACCTAGAACTCACTGTGTAGCCCAGGCTGGTCCCAACTCACAGCGATCCTCCTGCCTCAGCCTCCCGAGTGCTGGGATTACAGGCATGTGCCACCACACCGGGCTGTGAAGAGGAGATTTCTATGCTTCACTTGCCATCTCCATTTTAAACTGTGCTTAGGCAAGTACTTCCCAAATCATTCACACTGCAATTAGGTGGGATTCCCAGGTCCTCCACTGTCACATAATCCCCTTTACTGACAGTTACAGACTCTCACTCTGGCATTCAACACTATACCCTACCTCTCCTGCCCTATCTCCCTACACCAACTACCCTGGCTTCTTCTTGACCTCTGAACACAGCCCTTTTCTGCTGCTTGTGTATCCCTCCCACTGGCCTGACCACACTCCACCAGGTTCAGTCATGGCGTCTGGACCCTGCTGCTCCCACCCTATGACCAGCTGATGTCAGGGCCTGGCACAAAGTCAGTGCTCAGGCTTCAAAGGAAGGTTAGACTTAAGACTCTTGGAATTGAAATAGCTCCAAGAAACCAACCACCCCAACCCATTTGTTCAAATAGGGAAACTTTTTAGGTCCAGAAAGTACACTTGAGGAAACTGCATTCACATAGCAAGTTACAGGCAGAACTGGAAACTTAGGGAGGAGCTCAGCCTATGACAAGAGCAAAGGACCATTTTCCTGCACTGGCTGGTCACTGGCCTGGTGGAGATAAGGGAGAGAAAAGAACAGTAGAGGGAAAAGATCAGCAACTTCCTTTCAACCTGCTTCCTGTCTCTAATACAGTGACACTCCTTTGGGCACACCCCTCACCCCCAGCAACTTGGGCATCTGGACCAGGTCCCACATTCCTGCTGAAACTTTTCCAAGGAAAATGTAAGGTGGAAGTGGGTACAGGGCAGATGCCCTCCTATCCATGCCCCTTGTGGCTTTTCACTCCCACTTTCATTCCCTCACGAGACTCAAAGAACCTCCATCACCCTCTCTGATCTACTGCTGGCTCCCCTGTTAGCCCCATATCCTAATGCTGAGTGAATGGCCGGTTGGTTTGCTCACTCACTGCCTGCCTGTGGGCCGGCGTGGAGACCATAGGAGTTTCAGACATTAAGCCCCCTGCAGGGCCACTCCTCCCCCTTCGTGGGCCTGACACAGGAACTCAGCTTGAGGATGGTCCCAGGTTGCATTCAGAATCCGGCCTGGTACGCCTCGCAGGACAGATATACAAAAACAGAGGCGAAGGGCCGGGGATTTAGCTCAGCGGTTCGGTGGCCTGCCTTGCAAGCGCAAGGACCGGAGTTCAATCCCCGGTACCACCCCCCACCAAAAAAAAGAACCAGAGGCGAGGACTACACATCCTCCGTGCCGCCCACGCCCACCCAAGGCCACCCTCTACCCCCTAAGAATCTCTGCCACCAGCTGTCAGGGACAAGCAGGGCGGAGGAGCAAGCCTGACATTTCCGCTCCCAAAGACACGCCCCCCTCAACACAGCCACCCGACCCCGACTTTCGCTGTGGTGAGCCTCGGACCCTGGGCCGCAGTGTGGGCAGCCCGTCTCCGGCCGGGGTCGCCTTAGACGGTGCCACGCCAGGACCGCAGGAGAAATGAAAGTGGAAGCAAGGCCGGCCCCGGCTGGCGCGGGCGCTCACTCACGGCGTCGCCTGGGCGGAAAGCTCGAGTCCTCCTCCGCGGCGACTCGGTCACATCCCAGCGCGCAGCACAGC